TCAAACCAGCTTGATGTTTTTTTGTTCCCCATCATGCCTACATGTTTACCCTGACCCACTGTCCCTTGCCCACTTCCCGTAATGAACACGAAATTGGAGATTCGGAGAACCGTGGTCTATTTGGCACGCGCACTTCGTGATTTGGCTGGTTTTTGAGGAAACCGACACGGACACCATTCTGCGGCCAATGTGTGTTTTAGCGGGTGCGCGCCTGCTAGGGCGGGTATCAAGGGGGTTTGCGCGGTGGGTATCGGCAGTCGATATCACTTGTTTGGGGGAAAGGACGGCAGAAGAATGGCTGCAACAGGTCCTTTGATAGGAAGGACTGAAAGTTTAAAAAGAGTAACGATTGATAGCTGATGACAAAGAGAGGAAGATGGCTACTGGTGTGGAGGAGAGAATGAAGAGTTACCCGGGTGCAGCAAAGATATACAGCTTTTAAGACCAGTGTTTTTACATTTATTGTTTCAAGTACCGGGTTTCTGATTCTGACGGCAACCTGACAACTTCTTTGAAAAGTAGCACCACCCGACTCTCAGGCTGTCAAAGACCCTTGTGTGTCCTGAACTTTTGACGACGTCTGAGCATACAATTTTGGTAAAAATCTACAAGTTGACGTCCCCCTTCCTCCCCCCTCGCCATGCCCTTTCTAAATAATAAGTTAAGAGGGTCTTTCACGCATGCGCTCACAGCGATCCACACGTCACCCCTATCGATGGAAACTCCGAATGTGCATAGTGTCTCAAATGAAGGGCGAAAAGCAGGTTTGGGACCAAATTACACAAAATGAGATAATTACACTTTAAAATTTCTGGACATGTTCTGAACAATATCTAGAAAGTACACAAGCCTCCCTGCACCCTAAAGTGGTATTTGGGGAATTTTAGAGCGTAGGGTCAAGTCTCTTTTTGAGAAAATATTTGCCAGTTTTGTCCCCCAAAAAAGCATTCTATTTTTTTCACGGTTTGTACTATTTTTCTGCTCTATTTATGACTTTATTTCAATAAAACTTTGACAGAATATTGAAACCATACAAGTCTAGCTTTTTGTAAGAGGAATTATTGATAAATGGGTTGGTTCTTAATCTGTGAGCTTGAAAAGCTAGATTTTTCCCAGTTTTTCCGCTTTTTCGCTAGAGTGGGATTTCAAAGTGCCATAAAATAAAAACTAAAGTAGATATAAAAAATTCCTCTTATAAAAAGTTTCATCTTTGTCTTATAAGTGTGCATGCTGAGTTTGAACCTAATTGTCAGTAAATAAGGTGAGGAAATTGTTCCACATTAAGTCTCTAAAATTCAATATGGCCGCCGTTTCCATGGAAACTGAATCAGTAATTTTTTGGGACAACTGCTAACAAATCTCCGTTGCCATATAATGGTCCACACCAAATATAAGCTCCATAGGAGTGGTATTAGCTGAGATAGACGTATTCTACAGCACCCCCTCTTAAGTAGATGTTGACCTGTTGTTTGATGCTATGGACAAGCAGTCATTAAGTTTTAAGTTATCTCATTATTTCAGCAGCGAAACCTATAGTGTCCCAGCAATTGACTAAACCTATAGCGTCCCAGCAATTGACTAAACCTATAGTGTCCCAGCAATTGACTAAACCTATAGTGTCTCAGCAATTGACTAAACCTATAGTGTCCCAGCAATTGACTAAACCTATAGTGTCCCAGCAATTGACTAAACCTATAGTGTCCCAGCAATTGGCTCTGAAAGATCCAGGTGAAGAAATCAACGGTGCTTCGTTATCTCTAGGAAAAGAACGAATAGGAAAGCGTTTGTAGTTCCCCCCCCCCCTTCCTCTTACATGGTACGATGGCTACGTACAAGCTCTGGGCGTACTTTTTGGTTACTGAAATCAAAGATAGCATGATTTTATGAGCCTCACTACACATATCCGTTTTTTAAAATACTTTTTGTTGAAGTTGCCCCCCCCCCCCCCAGAAGCTAAAAAAAAACCCGTCCAGCTAGAGGATTAAGAAGAGGGTTAAAACAAAGAAAGGAGTCAAATGTAATTCACCTAACCAATAATATTACACACACAAACGTACAAACACACACACACACACACACACACACACACACACACACACACACACACACACACACACACACACACACACATGCATACACACATACACTCAAGCATACACACATGTGAATACATATTACAATATGTTTTTTTCGTTCTTCAATTCCCCACCAAAGGGGATATATGTGATGCTGGAAACTTGGAACTCTTATTCATTTGTGGATTCTGATTCCGAAACACCCAATTCTGTAGAGTATTGCAAGCACTTCCCTCTTTTTAACTTCTACTACAGGGTCAGTTTTCCATAGCTGATCTTAAAACGATGTCCTCCGGTCAAATACAAGATCAGATTGCTTCAGGTCAAGTCGGGTTATAGCCCTAGCCAGTGCATTCTTTGTTGAACGACATCTTCCAGATTCCGGAAGTCTATTAGGGCTGTCATATTCCGCTGCCTTCAAGTGTATCAAACCATATCAAACTAAGATTTAAACAAGCTTTCTGCAAAGTTCAGAGGCTATTAGCTAGATAGAGCATCGTTACATTTTATATCATGGCTATTGACTCGTACTTCCCAAATATGTACAGCTCCCTTCGTTTCGTTGGGCACTAAGTGGAACTAATACAATTACGAAGGATTAATCCTTCTTGGCCAAGCTGGAATTAATCAATATAAGTTGGCCCCCTCCCTCAATATTTCTTCTCATCTCAACGACAACGCGTTGAGGGTATCTGTGGATATGAGATTGTTAGTCTACAAAATACCCTGCTCTGAATTCATTTCCTTTTTCATGCTTCATGAGGCAAGAAGTGAACTATGTATATTTGTTTTGGTGGAATCTAATATTTGGGCAATACTAAAAGCATCAGCCTTGCGTGTCTTCCACATTAGATTGATACGTGCAAGAAATTCAAACAGTACCCTTATAATTATAAGATACATGAATCTTCATATTTCAAAAGTCAGAAAATGAAATAGATCTACAAGATTTTTTTTGGACAATTAATAAAGTTTTGGAAACAAAAGTGGTTAGTGGATTTAGCGTACCCATTAATTGTCCGTAGTTGTATTCATCAAATAAAGGCAATAGAGTGAATTCATATGACTACCGTTAACCTAGATCTTCTCCGGATTTGATTTTGACTCATCATGATCATCAACTTCGTCGTTGTCGTCGACTTCGTCTTTGAAAAGCAACTGAAGAGATGTTGGGGGTGTTAATAGGGCGAGCGATGTGTGTCTATGTATGTTTGTGTGTGTGTGTGTGTGTGTGTGTGTGTGTGTGTGTGTGTGTGTGTGTGTGTGTGTGTGTGTGAGAGAGAGAGAGAGAGAGAGAGAGAGAGAGAGAGAGAGAGACGCTCACACATACACATCTACACATCTACAGCTAGACACACAATTACCCCGACAGTATCTCAATCTCTCTATCTTTCTCTGCGTGCTGTCTAAGTCACTTTATCTGTCTTTCTATCTCTCTGTCACTGTCATTCTCTCTCTCTCTCTCTCTCTCTCTCTCTCTCTCTCTCTCTCTCTCTCTCTCTCTCTC